ATCAAAACAAATTCTATGGGACTGAGAAATATTATTTTCTACTTTTTAGTCCATTTATAAAAGCGTTGTATATTAAAAAGTTTTTTTTATATTATTTATTCCTTCATTCCTTCACAACCATTAAAGCAAGAAACATTAAATCATCGTTTATCCATAATAAAGTTTTAGCATTTCTTTTAATCTAAAAAGGGCGTGATTTACAATAAGTTATGGGCCCAGTCTTCGCAGGATAAAGTCAACATCAAGCAATTTTAGCACCATGACGGAGTTTAAGGCTAAAATCGAAAAGTTGAATAACGCAAATTATACCAATTGGCGCTTCAAAATGGAGTTGTTGTTGAAAAAGAACAATTTGTGGATGACGATCTCGACCGAAAAGCCGGCTGCGTCAGCAGGGGCTGCAGGTGCAACGGGTATGGTTGAATATCAAAAGGAAATGAAGGAATGGATCCGGAAAGATGAAGAGGCATTTTCAACCATCGGTTTGTCAATTGAAGACGATCAAATAATACATATTCGGAACGAAAAAACGGCGATTGGTGCGTGGAACAGGCTAAAGGAATACCAAGAAAAGGCAACGCTTAGTAACAAGGTAAATTTAATGCGGCGTATTTGCATCTTGAAAATGGAAGAACATAGCAGTGTTACAGAACACATTAATCGAATGCAAGATTTGTTCGTGAAATTAAAGAGTATCAGCGATGATGAATTGGAGTGTTGCCATGCTTCTCAGCAGTTTACCAGCAAGCTACGGCACATTAATTACGGCACTTGAAGCGCGAAAAGAAGAAGAATTGACATATGCCTTCGTTCAACAAAAGTTAATTGCAGAAAATGAACGTCGACTGCATGGCGAAGGCGATTCAAGTGAAAGGGTTTTAAAAGCAAACTTCCAGTCCAAAAAGAATGAACCATTATGCTTCTTCTGTAAGAAGCCGAATCACCAAAAGAAAAATTGTCCCGATTACATCAAGTGGAGGGCAAAAAAGGATAAGGAAGTTGCTGCCCATAGCGGAAAAAGGAATCCAGACAAGGCAAAATTTGCAGAACATCGTGATTTTTGTTTTAATGTTGGAAATTTCAGACGGACTAACGACGCAAAAAAGGTTGAATATGGTGAAATACATGAAAGCGATTCGATTGTAGCAATAAGTACAGTGAAGGACAAAAGGGCAGACAATTGCGATCGTGTGTATGTATTTGGAGAAGCGAAGAAAAAGAAAGGATGGTTGGTAGATTCAGGTGCAACACGACATGTAGTTAACAATAAAAGTTTTTTCGTCGTGTTAGACGAAACATACAGAGGAGTTATCGAAGTCGGCAATGGAAATGGAGTAAAAGTATTCGGCATCGGTAGCGGCATAGTGCATTTCATTAATGAAGACGGCACAATTCATAAAGCAGGATTCACGAAGTATTGTTCTCTCCAGATATGGTTAACAATTTGTTGTCGATTGGAAAGTTAACGAGCAATGGCTTTGAAGTTTTATTTCGAAAAAATACTTGCGAAATTTACGAAACCGTAAACAGATTGCAGTGGCAGATCGCAAACAAAATTTGTATGAGCTGCGAATAACGGATAAAATAAACGTTTCAATTAGCGGCCATAAAGAAAATTGCATTCATGATTGGCACCAACGTTTGGGA